CAATTACATATATTTATAATTTATTTTAAATTATATATAGTATATATCAAAATTATCAATACATTTTTTAACATAACGATATCGGCGAAGATTAATCCTACACTGAGAAAAAAATAGCCTAAATTTAAATAAATATTCATTTGAATACTGCCAAACTAAACATTTACTTATAATAAATAAATATTTACTTAATAAAAAGAAGTGATTGTTAATGTCAAATTAATTTTTGTATCAAATAATCAAATTAATTTTTTTGTACCAAATATATATATTTTTATATTTAATAAATATTTAGTTGATACCATTCAAATAAATATTTATTGAAAAGGATAAATTTTTTCTTAGTGTATTCGTGTACTCTCTGAACGACTCTCTCATACGTTTTGTCAGCAATTCTCTCGACTCGTTTCTAATTTGCTAACATCATCACGAATCCGCATAGAGATCCGTGGATAAAGCATGCTGAATATCCATGAGAATGGGGGAGGAAAGCTGCGAGAAACTGGAGGGGCATGTTCGCGATCGCGACTATTATCTTGTACTCCTATATGGCGAGAAGGCCTCATTGCATCAGTGTTATGCCAGCTGTACATTAGTTTGTCACGCACTCGTTTGGGTACAACGCAGCTCGGTACATTCGTGACGTGAGACGGGACATTTCACTTTACACGCGTTGATTGGAAATGCGAGACGTCAGGCGCTGAAAGGATAATCTCGGGCAAACAGAGAGAAATCCCTTGTGTACGATACGAACTTGACGAATTTAGAGTCATGTGATTTATATAAATTAGGGATGAAATGTATTGTGTTTCGAGTTAAGTGCAAAATAACCACATTGCGCATTTCAATGAGAATATGTGAATGTGAATGATATTTCTGCATTGTTTTACTTTTCTGATCGACGTCTAATGGTTGCGGTTGTTAACATACTAGCGATACGCTATAAAAAAATACGTTATAAAAAAATCCTTCTATACTGCATGTACTTTGTCATTTAAACGCGAGTAAATCCATCATCGGTGTGCAAGAATTTAATTACTATTTCCTGTAGGAAAAATCGGGTTATATATTTAACACTAATATAAAGAAGATATTGTTGTAATTGTAGAGTATTAAAATTATTCCATAATAATTTGCGCCATTTAGCTGCATCGACTCTCATTACCCTACTTTTATTTATATGTTACTTAACATTGACACTAATCCACATATTTTGTAAAGTATACATTATATCTCTTTTCTGCAGTTGAACTTTTGAAACTCAAAGTGAGATAGCTATATGTTTGATATTTGGCGAAAGCGAGAAAAAAGTTCTAGTATAGGAAAAAAAAACAGACCTAATGTTATCCTAATATTGAACTGTTCATTATAAATGATGAAACTTTTTTAATTAAAAACGACTCCTTCAATAAAATGTCCACGTATGTGGCGGAATGATTCTTTCTCGTGAGAGATCAATGTCGTGTAATTCGCAAAATGCGCTAATCTTTAGGGGTCGACGGGGTATTCGCGTTGATAACACGGTAACCCTGATAACGATGGCAATGTCAGCATACGGCGGCTCGATATGCCGTATCTGATCGCCGAGATATATTTTTATTTCTTTTCTTCTTATATTTTTATTGCTCTGGAAATAAATCGATGGGTATAAATTTAATTAACCCTCCGAAGTTGACGTCAAAATCTGTAATATATATAGCTACTGACGTTGGATCTGTAACACCCCCACGGTTTTGCTGAAATATCCAAAGAAACTAAATGCAGATCTGAAAATAATTTTATTTGGAGCATCAAAATAATTATATAGGATATATATATATATATATTTCTATGCACAGAAGCTACTAGATATTATGTTCCACCAGTGTCTCTCTTTCTCTTTCGTAGCGTCTCATCTTTCTATATCTACACTTGTCTTCCCTTCACTATCCATTTCCCTCTCTCTTTCTTCATCTATTTATTTACCTGTCCTTTCTTGTCCGTCTCTCTCTCTCTCTCTCTCTCTCTCTCTCTCTCTCTCTCTCTCTCTCTCTCTCTCTCTCTTCTCATTCTCATTCTCATTCTGCTGCACCTGTCTTTTCCGCAACGATTGTCTTTCCTCTTCGTCCGTCTCACTTTCTACGAAAGTAGAGACAGTGGCCAAGACGAAAGAGGTCGAAAGAGAGCTCTCTCTCGCTCTCTCTCTCTCTCTATATATGACACTGGGCGCGGGTGAGCGCCGGAAATATACCCTCGCGTGGCATCTCGTCTTGCTCTTGTTCGCCGACGTTCACCAAGCCGGCACCGTCACCAAAGAGCCGCACGTCGTCCGTGTTGCTCGTGGCAGTCGCGACAAATTTCCCGTCGTCCCGACGCGCGTTCTCCGCCGCGCGTTAGCGTGTCGGCCTCGTTACTCGGATTTCCGGAGGGAAATCGCGTCGCTGCGCCGAATCGCTCGTTCAGCGGATAATCCATCACGGAGATGCCCCAGTGCAAATTCCGCTGTGGATTTGTATGATCGTGTAGTTACACGGCCGGATGTTCCCTTCTAAAGCTCCCCCAGCTCCGAGAACGAATCTCTTTTTCGTTCTAGCCTTGAAGGCTTCTACTATTGAATGTCATTCAACTGCGTTGTTAATTGGAAAATGCATTTTTCGCGGAAGATTGAGAAACGGTCATGTATTTTCTGAGAATCACAAGTCTTTGAAACGAAAGCCATCATTATTCTTCAACCGTTCTTGGTGAAGTGTGAAAGGGTTAAAGTCACCCTCTACGAAATGTGCAATAATTATAGCTCGAGTAAATCATGTCACTGGCATGCATTATTACGATCTATTGATTTACTTGAAGAGAGAGCTTTACGGGGTGGCCCGAGTGAAATTTCACGTGTTAAAATTAGCCTGTGGTCCACTTGAACTTTACTAACACAGTTAAGGACCAACTTCTTCTGTTGAACCGTCGTGCAAATCATTTCACTCAACACAGTGCTTCGGGACGCTTCATTTCTTCCTTATACTCTTACTTCTAAATCTAGAGTTCGTTGCCCCTCGTGGTTGTAAAGGCCGAGACAGAGAAACAGACATTTCTTCTCACGAAATATCTGCGTGATGGATCACTATATATTGAGGGATCTTGGAAAAAGAAATACATTTTGAATCATATTAATTTACAGAAAGAACGACTTTACCGAAGTATTAAAACATTCAGCTAGATATACAGATTCGAAAATAATTGTGTAGGACATCTCAAGCTGCAATGCTAGAATGTTCGAACTTTTTGCAATATTGCTCATCATATTTGAGATTCCTTAGTTATCTTGATGGTCCAACAAAATTATTTTTAGATCTCTATCTATAAATTTTTTGATATACCAACAAAATCACTCTTTCCTCGATACACATATTTCTTATTTTTTTTCCATCTATTTTTTTACTCATCTATATCGCAAGTTTTTCTGTTTTAAACACATACGTATAATTTATATTATTATTATAAAACATAATAATTATTTTTTTATATGTGAGTAGAAATTTAATAAAATCCCTCGTTGTTAACTTGTAACTTGGACATTTGGGAAAGCTGGTCTTCCATCACGCTAAATTAGCACCAATTCGCCGTCACGCGTCAACGAATATCGTAATTACTTCTCCGGGGTGGAGGAAAGAGGCTTATGTCACTGTTTACGCGACGATCACCACGTGAGTGAACACGTGCACGCGTACGCACGCGCATCCAATTCCTCCTACGCAAGTGTATGCGTGTGCGCGTGAGGATGGCGATGGATCGGACGATGTACGGC